CCGATAGAAATTATAGTTACTTTCGGCCTCAACCGTGCCCCTTTTTCTCGTTTTGATCGTTAAAACAGTAGTAGCAACGTACGTTATCACCGACATATTAACACTTACTGGAAAAATAATTTCCCTAATTAGAATTTTTTCATTGCGGTTTGTAGTCACAGTATTAGGGCTCAGACACAATCAAACGAATAAGGAACAAATAATTCAATATAGGGCGCTAGGAACAAGGGATTCAATTTCGACATATACGAAATATTTTTCTCTCAGTGCGCGCGGTCCAAAATCACATTTCTCGCGTTGATCGCGCACTGAGAGAAATCCCACTAAATTATAATCATTTTCGGTTCCTCAACTATATCGTTTTAATAAAGAAATAGTAATAATAATATACATGTAAGTTATTATATGTGGGTTATTATCTCTGATATTGTAGTAAAATTTACTAAAAAAAGTAATTTCCCTGACTTTTAGCGAATTCGATCGCTGGCACTACATCGGATTGATGAATACTGAAGGCTGCTGCATATAAAGCAGTTATTTAAATAAAAAAGTATAAAGTATTTTGAATTGTTAAACACGTAATAATGATATTATCACGCAGATGTTATTTAGCAGAATATACATGAATTATTTCATCGTCAAAGTGTTTATGTTATGTCATTGCATTTGCATAATTTATGTATAGCGGCTTTAATGTATACTTATTCGACGCAATGACCGAATTCGCTATGTAATTCTTTCGTTCATGCGATTACAGTTACAAGTATGAAAATCTTCCAAAAAATCTTTTTCTCAGTGCGAAACGAAACGCCGGAATTTTCCAGTCGGTAGAGAAAGAACGGGAAATCGTCGGTCTCGCTCAAATCGCGGCTAAAATTACTCCGCCGCGGAAATTTCTCATTCGCGCGCGCAATACGAAATTCGATTTCTCACCTGCGTCGTCGAAGCTATTCTCGGCGTTGATCGTCGTTAAACGAAGTCAGCTCGTTTCTCCCTCACATACGCGTACGCGTGTGCCGACCTATCCTACGTTGTGTAAATGCGAAATCGCCTGAGCATCGCGCTTCTCGCGACGGTCAAATCGCACGTCAGGTGTCGAGTTCGCGGAGTCGGCCTGCGAATTTCGTTTTGTTTGTTGCACACATCGACCCCCGGCGAGCATACGTTGCCCGACTGCGCCTTTTCTTAGCGAGACCGAGTTGCAATTTTCGGTTAATCGGTCACGTGTACCGGCTGCGTCGTTTCCACGTGACGTCCGCACGTGCTACGTCGTCGTTTAAATTCCGCGCATAAGTCGACGTTAACCCTAAACAAGTAAAACCCATAGCACACATACGCATACACAAAGATATACTTAGCTAGAACATCAAATGACGATGACGTCGAAATAACAGGAAAATGACTATAAAAACTCTCTTTTCGATAATCTTGTCATCATTCTGACATCATCAATATTATATCTTTTACTACTTACTTGGATAAGCAGTAAATAAATTGACCAATCGCAGTCGATGGCTCTTCAACCGTGAGAAGTATAATCTGTGATTAGTCAATTTGTTTACTGCTTACCAAGAGAAGAGTAGAACATATAATGGCACGGTCAAGCTCAATAGATCGATCCTGACGTTGAAATAACATCATAGGCTTCTCAGGCCCATATCACAAAAATTATAAAGATCATGATTTTTTGCACCTTTTTTTTTTTTTAATTACCAAGTTTGATACCAATTTTTGTGTATTGTCCTTATAGACTGGTTACCGCCAGGAAACCAATTATCTCACGGGAACAAGGATCTATTTTTTTCCTGAATAATAGAGAAATAGGGATGAAGTATAGCACGCAATCTTGCACAAAAGAGGGGAAAGAACACACGTATAAAACACCGTAGACCTGACATGTATCGTTAGGGTTAAGTCGACGTCAATGAGAAATATCGAAGCCGGCGGGAGAAACAAGTAGGAGAATGTCGTCTATTCGCGATAGATGAAACACCCTCCGCGTATCGAGCCGACGTGCGCGTCTCCGCGATTTACGCGCATCCGTTTATCTCCCGCGTTCGTCCGCGTAGATCCATCGCGCCGGTCGCGCGCCTTTCCCGCGACGAAATCGCACGCTTATCGCTGTTTATCATTTTTTCTGGACCGGCCGAGTTTGGATGATACCATGTGAGAGGGGCCGACATCGCGGGTGCGGCGGCAAAGGTGCCTCCGGACACGTACCGGCGCGCAGAAACGTGCCCGGGGCAGCGCGCGGCCGCTCAAGGCCGCATCCGTATTGACATCACATCGCGCCGCGCGAGTGTATAGCAGCGGTTTCGTTTGTTTTAAGCCGTTCGCTTCTTTACCTTGCTTGAAACACGTTAATGCGCCCGAGATAAAGTGCACGTGCGCGAGCGAGCGCGCGTGCCACGCCGCGGGCGCATCGGTGACGTGGCGGCCCCGTTTACCGCGCGTTAATTAATTAGTAGGCCGGCACGATATCGGGAAAATGACCTTGGAGAACGTCGTCGTCATCGTCGGGACCGTCTTGATCCCCGGAGGTATCGGAATTCGGGCTGACTTTCCCAGAGATTACGAGGCGCCCGTGGCTGCGTCTAGACGCTATTTTGGCGACCGGTATAGTTAATGGTATTCACGGAGATTATTTAACCATCTGTCGAAAACGTCTGAAGGTACATCGGTAGTTGTTGAAGAAAATACCGTTTCTCCGAATTTTTTCAATTCCTGCTCGATACCCCATCTCTTCTATTGTTGCGTCATGTTTCGTACTCTGTTCAGATAAGCGAGCCAGTGCATTGAGAAAAAGTTATTGGCACTTGTAATTATAATCGTCTAAGTGAATGAATCATAGGGTAACTATTTTTCTAGTAAAGGTCGGTATAGCCAGCGATAATAATTTTACGCGCGTATTATTATTACCAGGATTGGGTAATATAATTAGTTATAATTAGTTAATAATTAGTTATTTAGTTAAAAGTTGAATTGAAAAGTTAATAACTTTTAACTTAAACTAGTTAATTTGACTGCATTTATTTTAATTCACTGTTATCTAATTTAATTTCAGTGCATTAATTTTAACTTATTAACTTATTCTTGTATATAAGTCACTTGTATGTATATAACGTATATAACTTGTTCTTGTATATAAGTCACAATAATTTATCAATATTAAAATCATTGCGCGGGCTGCTTACAATATAAAATAAGAGAAATTAAAAATAATGCCAGCAGAATTTTTTTTTGTCCCTTCGAATGCTAATGTTTTTGCATAGAATTCTGAGCATAAAACAGTCGGCACTTTTTTTTATAATAAACCACTTTTTCTTTGTTTAACATAAGTTTAATCTATGATTGAAAAGTTAATTATGTAAAAAAGCATATATATATATATATATATGTGTGCGTGCTTACATGGCTTTGCATAATTAATTTTTAACTTTAATAAGTTAATTTAATATTAATTTGATTTTCAATTAAATTAGTTTAGATAATTTTTGACGTAACTAAGTTTTATAAAAGGCCACTAGCTATTAATTTAACTTAATTAAAAGTGAAAATTAACTTACCCGACTCTGACTACTACTATTATTTTTTTTTTGTATTAAAATCAGAAGAAGATACGGTTGAATTGCCGAAAATGACTATAATTCTAGTGCGATTTCTCTCAATGCGCGGTCAGCTGCTCGTCAGAGCAGGTATAATAAACACAGTCTGTGGTAAACGGTAATGGAGTAGCCGTGTCGTACGACTCACTTAAGCGGTACTCATCGCCTACGGGAAAACAGAATGAGAGAAGACTGTCGAAAGGGTGTGCTTTCCCTTCTTCCGGCACGCGCCCGCATTCGCGCGTTCTTCCTGAGTCTCGATCCACGAGGAGGGTTACTTCCGACATTCCCTCGACATGGCACGCTGATTCCGTCGGCGATGTACTGTTTATCGGTTGCGGACACGTGTTCGCAAATCAACCACGGACACGGCGAGATCTTGTTGTTTGATCCGGAATCGCTCATGTCGTCGTCGGGTCGCAGTCGAACGGTCTCGCGTTTTTTGCATTACGATGAGAGACGACGACGAGGAATATTCGAAATTTCCGCTGCGTTGTATTTTCGCGCGGGAAAAACAAGGTTCGATTGAATTTATCCGACAATGAACAAATCGAGCGTGCTTGAAGCATTGGCTGAAGGAGACGGAATTTCTGCCTGTGGGAAGTTGATTTCTCCTACGGCATTCTACTTGAATTAAGACGGTTTCCAATGCGTGCGATCTTACAAATTACCCGAATTTATATTTCTTATCTTATCTTATCTTATCTTATTAATTATTTAGTTATTTATTTTAGTTATTAATTTTATTTTATTTTTACAAATAATCCAAATTTATATTTCTTATCTTATCTTATCTTATCTGATTAATTATTTAGTTATTTATTTTACTTTAAATCTGTCCTTCTGCGATCACTTTCACCTTATTATTGCACAATAAAGAGGTTCTTCCGGGTAAATAAAAATGATTATTATTAGGTAAATTCGATCGATTTTTTTCTCGCTGCATATTTTTATTCGGTAGCGTCATTTCGTCGCCTCGGAGCTGACACTCGAAATAGGCGCGTCTCGCGTGCAAGGAAGAACGACTCTCCAGGGCATCGATCGAGTCGATTCGGACGGTCGATTCGCGCGACGCAGAGCCGCGCGATTCAAGTCCCCTGGGTAGGGGCGTATTTACTCGCGAGGCGTGATCCACACGCGAAACATGAGGCACGCAAGCCCGTTGCTATTGACTCGGTCGAGTTTATTATTAGTGATCGAGCATATAATTTGTGTTTTCTTCGGGCATCCTCGACGCCAACGGCAGGATTCTCTTGAAATCCGCGCCTTGGACGAGAAGAATCTCAACGTTCTCGCGATTTCCGATCTCGTTCGAGGTACCAGAATCCGTCGCGAAATCGGAGACTCCTCCCTCTCGTCCCTTTCTTTTCCAATATGTCGATTTCCTTGTTACAGTTCGTCATTGTACCGGTCGATGAGCAGCGGTATGGGCACCGGAGCGGGGACCGGAGGAACCTACACGCTCCCCTACATGACGAGCAGCCCGACGGAGCTAGCCTCGTCGCCTCAGCTTTGGAACACTCAGGGTAAGTATCGGTCACAAGATAATGATCCGATAAAGTACGACTTACGTTCGACTTACTCAACCGGACGTACGTTTCTGACGTACCAATGTTTCTTGTCTCTGACAGCATTCTTAACAAGCGACGCTTTCGTCTCGCGTTGCTCATCCTTAAAAACACGGCTTTCGGGAACTCATTGTGTCGGAACAAATTACTCGGTCCTGTGCATAATGCCGTTCGACAATAGTTTCACCGACGAGTCGCGCCAACATGTCGCGCCGACACAATGCGCCGTCTCGAGAAAATATTTAAGGACGATGAAAGTCCTCTCCGAGCCCTTTGTCGTTGTTAGACCAAGTTGCCGAAAGATGGAGGCGCATTTATTTATTGCGCTCTTCGGCTCGAGGATCTTTAGATAATCTTTGAATAAAAGAGAAAGGCTGCGGTTAAAGGGACAGGTGTATATTTCTTTCGTCGTCTTGATTCTTTCTTACCGGACTTTTATTTGCGATTACAGGCCTGAGCCCCGGGCTACCGATTTCGGAGGATTACAGCAACAGCAAGTCCTCAGCTACGGTGCCTCATCAGTCATTGCCGGCCTTCTCGTCACAGCCTTTTGGCGCTCGGTCGAGTTTTCGTTACAGTCCGCCGTACACGACTCAGCAAGCAGGAACTCCCGGCGGCACCGCCGACGCCAGTTGGTCGTATGCGTCTCCGACGAACGATCAGCTGACCCCGCAATACGGCACACCGTCGAGGCGGCAGACCGTTAACCCCGCGACAACGCAGCATCAGCTCAGCACCGCTGCGGGCTTGCCAAGTGAGTGTCTATTTTCCTTTCCCGTGTTAATTATCAGCGAGCAGCGCGGTTTCTCGAATCCTGCCCGGTGAGGTCGCCGTGCGCACCGGGGGGTTAACGAAGAAATCCAGCCGGATCGCACGGATTACGCTGTCTCACCGCGAACTTTCAGCGGGTGATCTACTTGTTGATGACGAATAACGAATTGTAGCCTCGGAATTTCTCCGAGTGAAATCTCACTCAAAACGAGCGAGAAGTGGCGGTATTTTCACTCGATCACCCGGTGAAAATACCGCCACTCGAAGCCGCACTCGAACGAATGTTTCGCTCGAGCTTAGAGTGGATTCTGACTCGGCGCACGGAAAAAACAATTCCGTTGGCGGAATTTTCTCCCGAGGACAGAAGAGGAAGACTCGGTTGCAGGGAGAGGAGGCTTCCGCTCGGTCAGTTGTTCCCGATCGTCTCGGCTGAGTTTTACCGTTCACATGAATGTTCTCAATCACAGAGACAGAGCTCGTTTTCTGATATCCCTGGTGATTTTTCTGCCTTTTGAGTGAGATTCCACTCCGAGAAGTTTCGATATCTCTTCAGCTTCACAGTCGCGGACTTTCGGGGGCTCCGAGTAGAGATAGCGAGAAAGATGAGTTCCTTTGTTAAATCAACGAGGATTCGCACGCGGCCGTCTCGCGCCGTTCTCCGGCCACTCGCGTGTTCTCACGATCTCGATTATCCAATCGCGGCGATTCGTGTTCCCGGCGAGAATTACGAGAATCTACCGGAGCGTAGTCGCGATAACGGGCGCGAATCGCGCGACGATGTGTACGATTTCCGCACGCGCACTCCTACGATAACGATACGTTATCCTTCCCTATTTCATCACCGAGCGTCTTTATTAAGTCATCTCCGAGAGACACTTTTAGTCTCTCAGTCTCGCGGCATTTGGATCCCCTCGAACGAGACACGATCGAACCGCGCGTAATTCACAGCGTTTTCCAATCGGAGGACCGACGATGACAAGACACAGTCGGAAGGGAAGAAAAATGCGCACGCGCGCGCGGCTGGATTTTCTTTATCGGCTAGGTGAACTGTAGGTGAGCGATCGGACGATTCCGTCGGTCCTTTCGAGGAAAGCAGAGACCCTTCCTACGTTCTGCGGCGTGTCTGCCGCCCCTGAAGTGGGCGGTCTTCTTTGAACCGGCGATCCTTCGACGAGCGCATCTGCGACCGTATACAGAAATAAATGAGCGCCGGCGCTAAACACCACACTAGGTGGGACCGTTTCTGCTGCTGCTGCAACGACGTGCGTGGTCACGCTGTCGTGGATATCGTCAAAGCGCGAGATCGGTGGGCGTGTTGCGTGTACACAAGACCCATCTCGTGTGGCACCGCTCGCATTTGGTCTCGTCACCTACAGCAAAGACCCCGGGAAATCTCATCTCGGACGGCACGCTCGCGACAATTTCACCTTAGAACGCGCGACCTTTCCGTCAATTTTCGCGCGAGTTGTGAGAAGCTGCCCGCACGCGGGAAAGGAGATGCTGGAATCAAGTAAACGTTATTGTCACCTGCTTCCGTGATCTTGAATCAAGCAGTGCTTTTGCCGATTTATGCCAATAACCTGAAGAAATACTCACTAGAACGCGGTGACATTTTAATTTCAATCGAATGAATTACCGAATGTAAATGTAAAACGAGTCTACGTTTGAGAGAGTATTTAGAGGAATTGTGGGATATTTTTTTTTCATTGAAGGAACCTAGGAGGGAGGGACGCGTGAGTGCTTCTTCGTAGCAAGTGACAAATCGACGTGAACCGAAACTCGCGTGTCGCGTTACGGCCGTCGTAAATAACGAAGAGTAGGATTCGATGATCCGTCGGTCGTGGGGAAAATCCAATTCGAGGGCGAGATCGGGCTTATAGCCACGTACACCCGTGTGGCCGCCGATAGCCATAGTAGTTTTGACTAATTCATTCCACGACACTAAATTAGAGTCGTCCCGGCGGACGACTCGAATATCGCGTTACAGTTTCCCCTTACTTTTCGGTCCTCGCTGCCTGCCCACCGTGTCCCTCCTCAGGACGATATTTCATGCGCAACTTTTTTCGAGAACGACGCGTAAGTACTCGTGGATGCTGTCGAAATGTTCGTCGCCGCGTCGATTTGACCAACGAAGAAAGGAGAAAACTCGGACGAAGCTAACCATGAGAATAACACCCGCGATCTTGGCAGATCTTGAAGTAACATCATGGGTCTCTCGGTCACGATGAAGATCGATAAGAATCGTGATATTTGACGTTTTAGGGGTTTTTATGGAATTATCAAGTTTATTTTCAAGTAAATAATTATTCCAATGCTGCTTAGCAGATTTTCACTTGGATTAAGTAATTTTATTTCGATCGAGTAAATCTTTTACTTGGATAATTTATTTGGGAAATGTTTCACTTGAATCACAAGCACCGTTATTTGATTCGATTAAAAGTTTGCTAAGGAATACTGTAATTATTTACTTGAATCCAGTACTTCTTTCTACGTAGGAGTGGTCAGACGGGTCCAACTTTTTTTCTGAATAATGAAGGAATTAGGACTGTAATATAACGTCTCGCGCGAAACGTGGAAAGAGGAAGTAAGACGCGGTTGCATCAAACTCCGATCAAGCAATAAGCGGCGATTAACTCTTACACAGTCGCCGACTGAAATTTCTGCCGCACAAGAAATTGAGAAAGAAGAGAATATTGAAATTTCAATATTGCAATCCTACAAGTTAATCGTCGCTCAGCTTAATCGGAGTTTGGTACGACCGGGTTTAAGCGAGAAAAGTGTATAGGCCTCGTAGGCCTACCATGTTACCGCCCGAGTTGATCGCTTCTTCGTCGTCGTCATTCCTTCTCTTTTTCACTTCTTCGTTTCTCGTTCTCACCGTCTCGTTCGTCCTCCGAAGTCGAGCCTGGGGAATCGGAGAACCGCGGGAAATGACACGGCACATGGAAATGTGGCGGACGATCAAATGGAATAGGTGACGGCGATATCGTACGAATTTCCATCGTTATCAGGCAAGACGAAAGATTTATCGCTCGCGACGGGTCGTTGGCTGCTGATCGGTGACACGTCGACTTTGTAAATGAGAATCCCGTGATATGGATTCGCGCTTTTGTTGTGTTTTATTGGCCTGCCTCGTCGGCAGATTAGCTAATAAATACAATGAACTCTTTTCCGAGTCCGCAATCGGTCATGCGCATTTAACAACGCATCTACGCCTCTCAGTTCGCGATCTTTCGCCGATTCGGGTCGCAGCGTTCATCTCCAACCCTTTCCAGTCGAGATCCGCTCGGTGCGATTAACATTTATACGGAAATGCCGCCGAAGAAAAAGGTTTTACCAATCGATTGAGTTAAACGAAATTTCGCCGCAAATTATCGCGGCGTGTTCGCCCTCGTGGAAGCGATCGTCGTTCGCTTGTCGTACGGTAGAGAAAAAGAGAGAGAGAGAGAGAAAGAGAGAGAGATGGAGAGACTCTCGAGTTCCAAGTAGATTTTCGTCGCGTCTACGATTTCGCGAGCTTGAGTCCCGCTAGTCGAAAGATCGTCGTCGTCCTGGTGGACATCCTCCTCTCCGCTCCGGCACGCGAGCGAGAGCGGTCGTCGCGCGGCTGTCGAAGAAGAGGCATTGGTACGACCATGACCTAGGTTGGACGAATGCGTAGGCCTAATCTAGTTGTGTCTACGCGCGATACACAGAGGTAACGATAGGGCTGTATCTAGCGGGGGCCCGTCGGCTTTACGATAATTTCGCCGTAATGTGTTTGCGGGCGCGGTAACACCTAGGTATCTAATCGAATCCCAGAGTGATGTCAGAAACATACGCGCGTGCGTGAGTGAGCGAGCGAGAGAGAGAGAGAGAGAGAGAGAGACGAACGGCCGACAAGACTCGCGCTCGCGGAAAATACAAGCGACGTCGATGTTTCGCCGGGGATATCGAGGCTCGTGTTTTTCGGCGTCGAAATCCCCCGCGAGGGAGCTCCCCTCTTGTCTCCGCCTCTTCCTATGGAACGAAACGCCCGGTCGATGCGATACACCGTGAAAAAATCGCGGAGGAAAATCGCACCTAACGATGCGCGCGCGCGAATAACCTTGGGCCGCCGATAAGAAGCGATACTTAGCCGCGCGGCGAACACGGTTCATTGTACGTGTGCGCGGCTGCTTTCGCGAGAATATGCATATATAATGACGAAGGGGGAGGGCGAAAAAGAGGACTTTGCAATTTTATGAGGCGATCATAAATATGCGCGCTTAATATACAGCGCGCGTTTCATATTCAAATGGCCGATAGGATAGACCGCTCTCGGTGCCCCGGCGGGCGGCGCGTTTTGTTCGTTGGAAGGAGCTTTCTTCAATCGAATCGGTGAAGATGTCGCTAATTCAATCGGTGAAACGGTATTCTCGATCGATCGGTATCGAATCAGTGAGTATTCGCGAGTTTTCTCGTGGAAACGCTCCCACTCTGCTTTCTCGTCCGATACTTCGCCGATTTTCGCCGGTGACAGATTCCACTGTACATCGCCGTCACGCGTCTCTTATAGCAGAAATATATATATATATTTTTTTTGTTTTATATCAATATATTTTATTCACTGCTGTGCATTGTATGCTAGGCTAGTGCGCAAAGAAAACAGTCGCTGCTATTAACAGGTTTTTTGCGGCGAAATTTTATTCATTTGCAGTACTATATTTGTAATTATAGCTATTAGTGACTATTGATTGTTCCTCAGCGATAATATACCAATTGCATTTTAGAGAGTGAGAGAGAGAGAGAGAGAGAGGGAGGGAGGGCAGAGAGGAAAAAAGGGAAAAGAGAAGGAGAAAGCAGCGCGCGGGAACTTTCCTTTATCCGCCTCTCATTGTCAACAACACAGTGGAATCGCGCGCGGAATACATTGAACGAGATAATTGACCGACAATTAATTGAGATCGCGATGCGTCCAGCATCTCGCGATCCGCGGATTCGCGAAACGACCGTGGCTGTCAG